TGTAAATTGTGCCAACAGATTGACAGTTCAGCGGATGAAGCTGTTCCGGAAACGTTCTCGTAATAGAGCAAAACATGTTCATCAATCACCAATATAGACCATACCAAGATGAAGCAAACTAAATCAAATTTGGTGAAACATTGCATTAGTCAAAGTTGTTGTGTCATAAACCCTGGGGGCCATTTTTTTTTTTTTTGCAGGAGGGTGGGGGCTCTATTTTAGATGGCGCATGCGGAAATTCTGGCGTATCCTGATTTGTTTCAGTCACGCATGGTTCGCTCCTTCCTTTTCCACACAGAGATGTCTCCACACAAGATGATTAAACACGGCGGCACGCGGTATCCAGCCTGTGGCTCACACTACATGACAGACATTTCAGCACATTCTTCCATCTCGTTATATACCCACAATAATGCGTCAGAGCGTATTACGGTAGCCTGAAGAACACAAATTAGCCTACATAACACATGGGAATTGAAAGGACGACAGTGGTAGGGGAGAGGTGACTCATGCCCAAGCACAATTGTGTCACTATGTACTGATTTAGCCCCGCCCCCCCCAAAAAAAATCTGGTAAACTGAAATGACAACAAGCATTTTAACAGTATGGCCTCTATTCTTACACATCGCAGCTGCGCTCAAGCATAAAATTTTCGTGCTGACGCAAGCCTCAATGCACTTGTTTTGAAATTTGGTTCATCTCTCTGTGCCATGCTGGGCATTTTGACCTACTCACAGCGTTTTCTTTGACATGCGCCCGGCGCACCTGAGAATTTGTTGGCTGAAAGTAGACTAAACTTTACTGTTCAAACCATGTCTAACTACTGGCACAGGTCATGTAACACGATTGTAGTGAACTTCGAGGCACGGGCAGACAGATTCTGTCAGCTGTGTTCACGTCATCAATGGTGCAAAACACCTTCTTTTTAATCCGCCTTGCTGGACCTGCTTGCATGGCTTTGCAAAAATACCAACACTTAGTCTAGCCCACCCCCTGTGCTGATTGAGACAGTTGTCTCTTTGCTGCAAGGGACTTGTGTGAGCACATATTTATCTACTTACATAAATATTGACCAGATTGAGGTGTGGAATAGTCCTCCATCAGTATACCCTGAAAACTGAAACTTTTTCGGAGACTTACTGAAAAAGCAGGCTAAATTTCAGATTATTTGCTCAGTTATTGACCAGAGAAGAAAAAAAGATATGAATCTGGCTGTTTGTTTACAGGACCAATTTATGAAGTAAACATCAAAGTAATTCAAAAAGTCATAATAGCTGTTTGACTTATTGATTTTGCTCAAGTGGGTCACTTCCTTCCTATTGATGAAAGTGCATCCAGAACTGTACCATACATCCTGTGGTCATCCTGTGGTCCTGGCAGAAAGCGAGCGTTCCGCCTGGCTGCTCTGCTGAATGCCTCGGGCAGCTGGAAGAGATGGTTTCCCACAGGGCCCATTCCCACTGATGTAATGGGTGGTGTCGAGCAATGGTTTGTGAAGGAGAGAGGAGGTGGGTACAGTGTACGTACTATGCAAGGACAAACTCATTTCATTTTTAGAGGACGCGGCTTTTGTGGTGCGTGTCTTTGAAAATCATGCAAGCCTCTTTTGTAATGCAGCACTTTGTACCTCAAGAGCCAATAGAGAGTCGCTGAGGCGTAAAGGAGGAGCGTCACATACTCTGAGCTCAATCTCACACTATTTGGGAAGGCTTCCCCCCGAGAGGAAACTCAATTTCACCAGTTGGAGCTATAATTTCTTGCTTTTGGACACTGCAAATTAGGTAATTAGTTTAACAATCTGTTTTAGCTCCCGCTTCACCGAGACAGACCCATTCAGTGTCCAAAGTACTCATTATAGGTCACACACTCCTGCATTTACTGTGAGGCTGTTAACATGATGCTATTAGTGGCACCCCTGCTTAAGATGTGTTCTTTAGCTTCTAATATTTTACTTTCTTAAATAATATAGGACCAACCCCCCCCCCCCAAAAATACAATCTTTAATTCAAGTCCATTTATTCAGTGATGAATAAATTCCCACTCTAAGAAATATTTATTTTACATCAAATCATGTGTGCCACAATTATTAGCACCCCACGATGTTAATAATTTGTACGACCCCCCTTTGCCACCCAATCTTCTAGATTGTTTCACAAGATGCGAGAATACATAAAGCGTGATCTTCGACCATTCTTCTTTGCACAATGTCTCTAAATCATCCAGCGACCTGGGTCCTCTCGGCGGCACTCTCCTCTTCAGCTCGCTTCGCAGATTTTCAACGGGGTTGAGGTCTGGGGACTGACAGGGCCATGTGGAGAGCTTGATTCTGGGTCTGGTGAACCTCCGCTACAGTTTTCAGTATGAGCTTATGCTTCTGTATTAAAGCTTTTAACACCTCTTAACCTCGGGTGCCAATAATTACGGAGGGTACTGCGTGTGCCTTGCCTCAATCAAGGTGATCGAAAACACTGCTTGAAGAGAGTGTTGAGAAGTATTAAAATCAAAGACGTCATTCATTTGCACCGAAGCAAATGTTTGTGGGTTTGTGCATGAGATTCTTGGCACCGACTCTGTCGAGCCCCCCCTCACTCCTCCCCCGGCTATTTCTCTCTCTCTCTCTCTCTCTCTCTCTCTCTCTCTCTCTCTCTCTCTCTCTCTCTCTCTCTC